TCACACCTCCTTTATTATAATGATGTGCGTAAGACGGCGGGCGGCTCTTTGCCGAGGGGTGGGGGGGGGGGGGGGCTCGCTGCATTTTTGCTTAAGTTGAAGAAGCATTTTCTCTCTTGTCCTTTGTTGGCTTTGAAATTTAATTTAAATGAATCTAAAAAGAAACGACACTGAAATGATCTATCTTCTAAAATACTTTTTTTTAAATAATCAAGATTTTCCTTAAAATTCTGTTTTGTTTTTTGTTTTAAATCACATGAGCAAATTAAAAAAAATAATTTTAATTAAATCCAGGCTTAAAGGCTTAAACCTGGTGCGTTTATCATGGTAATCCCCCGTACAGTTTGCATGTTTAGAAATAGCTTCAAATTAGCCAAATGTAGCTGAAAGCCAAATGACGGTCACTAACCTTATAGAGCTACACTTCCAGGAAATTGTCCAAAAATACCCCCAGGTTGTTTTGTTTTTGTCGTAAAAAAGCCCCTGTTTAAGGTCATTATCAACCAGTGCTGCTTTTACTTCTGCTTTACAAACAACAGTCAAATACTGGTCAGGAAATATTAAGCCGAGAGAAAGTTCCAGAAACCTAATCTTTGACTTTTCATACGCCTGGTAGTTGACTAAAAATACTTTTACAATCAAACCTTTGTATCACACAGGTGCTTTACACCAAAATGTAAATGTAATTTTTTTTATAATAATTAATAATAATAATAATAATAGTTTTAATAACATTTAACAGAGATCATTTCAGCGAGTTTCTGTCTGCGGGGGAGTTTGCGGAATTTTGTCTCTTGTTTTTACCATGTGACATTTATGGCTTCGTTCAGAGGAAGTGAAACCTCAGTTCAAAGCAGCACCTGTGACGTTAACCTGAAGTGAGGTGAAGTCCTGTCTGTGTGGTTTAGAGACTCTGAAGAAACACCAACACGACCATCGTCGTGTCGTGTCGTGTCATACTCTGGAAAGCTACCTGAGCAAATACAAATACTGCAACGCAAATACAAATACTGCGAGCTGAGTGTCTGTTTACTCAGAAGCGGCCGATCCGTCCAGAGACACCGACGGACGCCACGCTGTCTGAATTATTCAGTCTTCAGAAACATTTGGAAACAACATCCAAATCTGTGAGCCTCAGGCGTCGTCGACCTGACACGGTGTGGAGGAAACAGTCGGAGATGGAGCAGGAAAAACCCACACGTCACGAGTGACAGAGTGAAACAAACATTTGGTGTTTTCCCCTCCTGTGACGAGCAGAGCAGGAAGTGAGAAAGAAAGTCACCGTGAAAGTCAGTGGGACGATCACATGACGCACAAGTAGGAAGTGATTGATCAGAACGATCGAACGAACGCCGAGGGAGAAGATCAGAAACAGTTCTCTGCACTTTCCAAACTGTTCCCACGGGTTTTTCTCCCTCAGCCGTCGCCTGAAATTGAAGGGCAGTAATTGACAGCGGGGAGGGGGAGCCAATCGAACGCTACCTGCCTGCTGCTCACCTCCAGGGTGCTGAGTGGGAGGTGAAAAAAAAAAAAAGTAGTCGCCTAAATGAGTCATAGCCAAACAAATGGCTCCTTTGTGACCCCTGCAGGTCTAATGAGGAAGGCCGTGAGTTTCCACCGTAGCTTTTTAACGACCGCCGTTCGCCCACGCGGTCGTGATGCTGCAGCCATCGCCCGTGAACTTTGACCTCCGCTGAGACGTGGACCAGAGCTGCTGGTCCAGGTCTGTTCCCTGCAGCAGGTCTTTGGCCTCGGAAACGCAGAGTTAGAATTTCACCGCCTTTGTTTCCCTCCTGTTTTCTCAGGCAGGAAATACGATACGTTTCTTTCTTTTTTCTTTTTTTTTTGTTTTTCTTTTTTTCGTCCTCCAGTTTCTCCGCAGGGATTAGATCACCGCACATGCTCAGATTGGCTTGTTTGCTTTCAAACGTGTTGACTGAGACACACACACACACACAGCGCTGCCAATGATTCTATATTATTTGATTTCACTTTGCGGCCAAGTGTGTGGGTGCGCTCCCTGATAATTAGCGCGGCTAACTGTTATTATTCATCGTTGAGACTCTACTATTAGCTCAGTAATGACTGTGATCTGTAATAATGGCTTTGAACCGTGATGTGATTCTGTCTGAGCTCCAGCCTCCGTGGGTTTGCTCTCATGTTCCCGAGTGAGTTCTTCTGTGTTTGGTCGTAACTTTGTAGTTTTTTTTAAGGGAGAAATAAATGTTGAAAAAAAAAATTAGAGAAAAACCACATCATTGACGTGAAGTTGCTCCACAGTTTTTAGAAACTAGTCAGCAGTAAATCAAACCGTTCTCACCGAGTTTAGTTTCTAGAACAATTTGTATTTGCATTTCAAGGTTTTTTGCTCCCGATTTGCGCAGCAAGCACAGGTGGTTCAAACGAAGGCACGTTTTGGTAAAAAAAAAATTGCCGTGATGTTTATGAAACACCTGGATGAGTGCGACCAAATTTGGCATCCATTAGAATCACCAGTGGACGAGTTAAAAACTCCAACGCTAACAGAAAAACAAAAACGTGTAGCTACAGTATTTAGCACAGATGCTAGCCAATAAAAACACCCCACACTCAGACGGTGGACCATCCAGAGTTGTCAGAGTGAGTCACTCGGTCTGATGTTGTTGTCAGTTTAAACCTACAACCAGGGACCACACACTGCTCAACAAAGGCCGACTTCTCTCCGGTGAATTCCCTGAGTGGCCTCCGCCCTCGGTACAGTGCAGGCTTAGACAAATTATTATTCTGAAAAAAATGTTTCAGTGTCTGCTCGAAGAGACCAAGGTGAAGAAACAGTCAGTCAGTCAGTCAGTCAGTCAGGGGAGCTTTGGCTGAATCATTGTGAAATATCTGGAGGTGGTTGTTGATCTGGTGATCGGTCAGGTTTCATTTCTAGAAAGTCAGTCTTGACTCCGAAGCATCTGATGATGAAGATAAATCGGAGAAAAAAAACCAAGATCTCCTCAGATCTGGCGTCCTAGCTTGACTCTGTGCTCAGTAAGTTCCACATTTGTTCTTTTTCTCCAGCGCTCTGTTTCCACCTGACACTTAATCAGTTCCACTCTGGCTCCATTAGTCAGGCCTGTAATCTACCCGACAGACTCCAGTGAAGATGAATTTATCTGCCATCTGCAAAGTGGCACATCCAAGCCCCCCCCAGAGGACTCTGAGGGGAGTGCTGGTCTAGACCAGGGGTGTCAAACTTATTTTGACTTAGAAATAAATGTTTCTGCAGTTGATTAGTTTTTATTCAAATTGCAAATATTGTACTGT